ATTTAAAACTAGTTCATGCGCAAGTTACCGTTCCTGCGCCACCCTATGGTGGAGCATATGGTGGACATCGTTTAAATTGACTGTCGAACTGTCAATAATCGATAGTGTCGAGGCAGAGCAACGTCCTTGTTCTAGCCAATATCGGTGACATGTCCTCGGCAACTGATTTTAGCTCCCTCAATCGAAATTACAAAATTTTTTCGATTAGAAGGGATTACTTCGGTGGGATTGTAATACTGATAATAGAGCAACATAATCCCAGGATATTTCACTCACGGCAAGATGCCGACTTTTGGCCGCCACTTCTTGGCCACCTGCAGAAAACTGCACGGGGCAAACAATAACTACTTAGACAGCATGCATCAAGTATATTGATATTTGATGCCCTTATAAATTTAAATGTATTCTATAGACAAGATGAAGCGAATATTCCTTCATGTACTCAGTTGGTATCAAATTGCGTCCACTTCTACTTTTATACTTGGGTAAAAGGTATTTTTGGTGTTAAACAGTTTTCTAATCCTCTATCAATTCTGGACCCAACTGGAGTTGCAGTGGCGCTGAGGACTTTCAAACTAAATGTCGTATACTTTCGTCCAACTACCTGTCCCTTTTCTCTATATTTTTATGACCCATCTTATAAATACTACTTGTAGGACGTCTGTAGGTGTTTTTTCTTCGTCTTACAGAATGAGAAGAGTTACGATTCGTCAAATGAAGGCCGAATAGGCTCGAAACAGTGTTGAATTGATTAACTCAAATTCTTGAGCATATCACATTATCACTTAGTTCCTAAAGATGAAGACCGATAAGATATTGTGACAGTATTGATAGCCGGATAAAAAGGAATTATAAGCGCAAGACAGAGCAATTCACAAGTAACTAGCTCATGCGAATAAGTGCAGTTAAACTCACCGACAAATACTCTGAGGATTCAACAGCGTAACCAACCTTCCCCGCGGTTGCGATGTTGTCAGAAAAATCTAAAAAAAAGAGAGAAAACGTTGACGTTTAGTCAGTTCTTAAGGAAGACGAATTACGTACCTTAGGACATCGGTATTGTCAGCGTCTACGCCGGGTTAATTATATGAAAACCTGCACTCTTGTGTCCGCGCATAAGCAGATAAAAACGACAGCATCTAGAGAAGCGCGCGTGGCTATCACGGAAACAGTAAAAGCGGCGAAACCCTCCCGCTGAAGACA